CAGAGCCTCACAGGTACCGGGAGCGCGCGCCCCCATCTCGCCCGCCGTCAGAACCGAGCCTGCATCCACACCCCTCTGCCCTCAGCTCGCTTATCCCCGCATCCATCGGCGGCGCGATCCACCCTTCACCCACATTGCTGCTAGCGCAGTCGGATCGCCCGCATTCAGCCATCCGAAGTAGCCTTTCGCCATCCCTCCTCCACACGGTGGGATCGCCCTCCTGAATGCGGCTCCCGCAGCACATTGCTTCAGCACCCTCCCTTCGTGCCACCATGCATCCAGCAGCACCCGCTGGTCGCCTGGCGGTCACCTCAAGATCCACCTTGGATCCAGCCTCCCTAAATCGTGACAGAGCATTGTGTGTGCCTTTTATCAGCACCCCCACCCCATCCCCAGCCACCTGCTCCCCCTACATCTAGCACCCCTCAGGCCCTGATCCCCACCACTTATTCACACCAGCATCAGATAAACCTTATTAGATAAACAGCCTGAAATAATATACACCGTGCTTGTCAAATTGTTTTGGCATTCAGTTGCCACCTTTTTCCTTGTATGCTGTAGTAACTGATTGTGCATATAGTCCACTCCAGGATGCAGAAGGCAGCTGTTTGCACATTTGCTGCAATTTCCCTCTCATTTCATAGAGAAGCACCATTCCATATGCTGGCTGCACCTTGCCTGGAATCATCACCAAAACTCTGTATTAAGATTTTCTTGCTAAAGCACCTACACATTTGTTAAATGTTAAATCTTCTTGTTCTGTCCAATCAGGCATACAAAGACAGGCCTTTCTCAAAATAATCAGTTAGTGTTACGCATCTATATCCTAGCATTCTGTTTGTATTTTGAGCATTTCATTTGCTTTTCAATGGGCCCTGCTCTGGGACCACGCTGCATCTTGTCCTTCAGATTGTGCCTGGGCCTGTTTCAGAATCCCTTTCAATGCATGAATCCTTTCCTACTAGGCACTCGGAGATGGCAGCCAACTGGATCTTGTGCAGTTGAAACATCCTTTATTAAACAATAAAGAGAAAATTGCAGGAGAGTAGACAGTTGTCAAAAGACTTTTTACAAGAAGGTTGCCTTGCAAGAAGGAAGTATATTGATAAAGAACTTGTAAGGCCAAAAGGGGACACTGTCTAGTGTTCCCCAAAAGTCACTGTGTAAGTGATGTTATACCCTCCAAGAGGTTTACCAAGTGGACCTTGGCAATAGCTTGAATTTGCTGACTTATTGTGGGAGAACTGAAATGGATCTTTGCTGTAAGCAGAATGCAATTTGACCCAAAGAAAGAACTAGAACCTGGTGTATTCCAGGGCCAGTTCAGTATACCTATTGAGCCCTATTCTGAATAGGTGTCATCTGTTCTACTGGCACAGGTAAAATGCTTTTACATCAGTATTTTTAACCATGTATAGTGAGGTGGCAAATGCTCAGGATAGCTTTGTGCAAATTAAGGCTTTTGGATTAAACTGGGAAGCCAGGCTGCCATTGGTAGACAAACATGCATGAGTCTCAGCCAAAGCAGTACAGAATATGTAGAAATAGGGGCTTGTCTATATACTGTGCCAGTTGGCAAGACATTTACAGTCTTAGGAGGCTGCAGGCTACTGCTCTTGTTTACATATTTTTCAGTATGGCTAATAAGAACTGTTTGATGGGCATTTTAAGTGAAATAAGGACAGAGAGAGTTTTCCACAGTTAGAATTCAGCTCACCTAGAATGACATTAGTCTCTAGCCCAAGGTTAAAAAAATGCCTATGCTGCCATTACCTAGCTGCTTGTAAGCATCCTTCTATCTGCTTGTCCTTTGTTATCTTCAGGAATAATTGTGGTAGCTATTATTTATAAATGTTAGTGAATGAAATGGCATCTGACCCAATGCTTGAAATAGGGTGAACAAAATAAGTGGTCCCTGTACTGTAATGAAATCTGTAAGTCCCTAGGTGTGATTCCAATTTTAGCCAAAACACATCAGCTCACCTACTCTTTTCAGCCTTCCAAAAGCTGTTATGATGGCATCTGATAAAGAAACTAAGACCCCTCTGGATCTACCAAATTAAAACATAATGAAGTTTTTTGCAAGATACCTAGTAGCAGGTTTGTCCCTTGATTGAGAGTGCTTGCCTTGCTTTTTAATGCATGGTACTCTTTTTCTAGAGATCCAGTAGTGGTTAAGGCATCAGGCTAGAAACTGGGAGACCATAGGCCTATCTAGACACAAAGCCAGCTGGGTGACCTTGGGCCAATCACTTTCTCTCAGCCCTAGGAAGGAGGCAATGGCAAGCCACTTCTGAAAAAACCTTGCCAGGAAAACTGCAGGGACTTTTGATTGAACGGATTTTTTTTAAAAAAAACCTTTTTCTACAGATGACTTTTATTTAGAAAAGTATTCCTGGCTTGCCTTGTGGCCTGGAAAACACTCCTACAACAACTCACCATTTAAAACTTTCAACCTTATAAAAACTAAAATCACCATGGGCATCAGCACTGGAGAAAAATAGTCTCTCTCACACATACACAATCCCATTGAGTTTAGTGGATTTTACTTTAGGTAAGTGGGTCTTGGATTGTGGTTTAAGATTTCTTGCCTCGGCACTTAACAGGCACATTTATTAGAGAAACCAAGATTTTGAGAGATTGGCACAAAGATGAGCAACAGATAAGCCAGCTAAGCAGCAGCACAACAGCTCTGAAAGTTGAGAAGGAGATTAATATCAGTTTGCCTTATGTCATAAAGATGGCTAGTATCCTGTCCCTATCCCTGTTTTTTTGTTTTGTTTTGTTTTTTGCTCCCCAACTCTTTGTTTACCATTATTAAACACCAAAGGCATGACTTTTCACCTTTTATTATTTTTGCAAGATTAAGTTGCAGCACTACATTTTAAAATCCAAATCTGATGTGAGGGGAGACTAGGAAGCCACATTTTGCTTCAGGCTTTCTGGTGGGAAATGGAGACAGGTTACCCTGAAATAAGAGAGGATACAACTTTCCAGACTCATTGCATTCACATGACACAGCTGACACAGTTAACTGCTACTCTTAGGGAAATACTCCTTTGCATTCTAAGCATAGAGTCATGGATGTCCTAGTCAAATTGGAAGTGGCTCTCTTTGACAGCTTCCCAGCTGTCACAAAAATGGCTGGGAGACTATCACTACCTGTCATTTTTTAAAAAAACATTGTTAAAAAAAATTAAAGTGGAGACAATCTGTACTGTGCCAGCACAGTTGAGGGAGACATCTCTACTTGTTTCCATTTCAGCCCCCATGCAGTGGGTATAAAAAAGTACTGCAAAACAAGCTGTAAGATGTTCCTAGAGCCACCTTTTTTTTTGTAGGGCCACTCTAGGACTTTGTCTCTTTGTCAGCAGTAGCAAGAGACTTCATATAACACAGCTAACTGAGGGAAGTTAATGTAGCCCTAAACTATTGTTGGTGCTAAAATTAACCCCTTGTGCCCCTGCAACTCATTGGGCTACTGTGTTCACATAACATACTAACCTCAGGTCTGTTGCTTGTTAAGCTTGTCATTGAGAACAGGACCACATTGTATGTATCTTTGTTTCACATCCTCTTCAGAAAGAACAGCCCTTGCCAAGTTCCTGGCATAAGGGGCAATGAGATCAGAGATATGCACCTTGAGCAGCTTGGCCAGGATGAATCTACCACCTGTTATTCAGCTGTGATCTAGATTGAAAAGTTATTAAAATATACATCTCGGTTTAGATACACAAAACTACCTATCTGAGGCAGTGCCATCTATGTACTATGAAGATTAAAACCTAGCTTCAAGTCATCCTGTTACGTGACAGAGGGATGGGTTTAAACATCTGATGGGAAGAAAGACGTGTACCAGATACTGCCCAAAACAGCCCTGTAGTCTAGTCTTCTGAAGACCCAAATCCACATGTTTGAAGACCTAAGATTCATTCTAAATCCAAGGTCTCTCAGTTACTATAGTTGGTTACCCTGTTGGAACTCTGACTGATCTGTGAAGGAGATGATTTAGGCAGTAGATATATGATTGTTGCTAAGCTCTCTGTCTTTGAGCACAAATTTCTTGGTTTTCTATAGAACTTAAAGCAATGAAGCACTTAAGCAGATGACTAGGCTGACTTTAGATAAAGCAAATTAAGCCAATTTTAAAGCCTTCTCTGTAAACTGGTAAATCATTTCTCCATAGTCCAATGTTCTCCAGTGGAATTATTTTGGGTTCTTCAGTGACTGCTATATTCTAGGTAATGAGAACAGCATTTCCCCACTCCCACAGTACCCACTATGATAAATTACACTAATTCTGATGAAATCGTATCCTTTCCCATGTTAAGGTATATTACGTAGCTTCTAATGGAACTGAGGCAACCACTTCTCTAGTTGTGATAGATGGGATTCACTTTGTTCATCCTAAGGCCATGAGCCAAGTTGCCTGGAGGAATAAGGTTGATTGTTCGTTAGAATGGACGTTAAGTCTGACAACCAGTTGAATTGCCTTGAGAACGAGAATGTTTTTGAAATATGATTAATTCCAACTCCTTTAAAAGTAATAAGAATTTTGCTAAATAAAGTCTTTATTTAATCCTATCGAATTATGTAACTGTCAGCAAGTATCTTATCTCCTTTTTCAATATAGTTATGGAGGATATAGTGGCACCACAACTCTAGGTATTCTTGGATGAAGACTATTATTTCAACCCGTTCCATTCTGGGTTCAGGCTTCAGTGAGCCCTTGAGAAGGACATGCTGGAAATTGAACAATAGCAATGCATCTCTGTTAGTTGTTTTGGGCCTTCGAGCACACTCAGGAGCATTATAAATGCATCCTTCAGAACACTGGCTAATACAGGATTGGAGGGTAGTATATTAGAGGGGTTCGTGAATCTATTGGCCAGATATTTCCAGAAAGTGCTACTGGAAGATGAGATTTCACAGCTTTTGGTTTCTGGCTCATTAGGTCCCACAGGCACAGATACTATCTCTATCGTTCTTATTACTTTATATACCACTTTTTCT